GACAGTTATTATACCAAGGTAGAGTAGGGGCTGTCTGTCAGCATGACAGTTATTATACCAAGGTAGAGTAGGGGCTGTCTGACAGAAAGACAGTTTTTACACCAAGGTAGATTAGGGGCCGTTTGACAACAAAACAGCTTTTATGGCCAGGTGAGGTACTAAAGTAAAGTAAAATAAGTGAAATGCTTTTTGAGCTGGGCAGCGTAGGGGCTGTCTGACAGTTTGAAGCTTTTTCTTTACAGAATGCAGTTAATATGAAGAGTAGGACCAAACCTGACCCTCTAGTAACACCCCCCCCAGGATTGAAGGCGTCTGTTTTCCATCCTCGGAGTGGAACCCAGGCGCAGTCGTTTACCTGTGGGTGATCCCATCCCAGTGGACTGTCCCGTGTGCTTTTCATCGGAGAGAGGAAAAAGTAGGAGGTTGCGGGGGCCACTCCCCGTGCAGGGGGGGGGGACATTTCCAGCTCATAGACGATTAGATCGTCCCTGATGTCGAGAGAGAGAGAGAGAGAGGGAGGAATTGTTTTTGTGGCTTTTATCTGTTGTGGAGTAAAAAGTTCAGAGAGAGAAAAAAAAATTCTCCTTGTTTGCCCCCCACCTCCCTGACATCTCCCCCTCTTCACCTCCTGACCATCTCACTCCCCACCCCCGGTCTGTGGATGTCGGCTACGACCCCCAGGGTCAGCCTCTGCTCTCTAGCTGTGCTTCCATGCAGCTCGAGGTGAAAAACAGCTGCTCACTTCCTCGGGGGGCCCCGTACCTTAAGGTCTCTGTCAGCCTGGAGTCTTTGTCATGTTCCTATTATGATAGGATGCTTTCCCGCCGCACCAGGTATCCTGCTGCGGTACTTTTGATGCTCTCTCTTTTCCATTGTCTTTCGGTCGAGTACCAATACCAAAAGTTCCAGAACCTAAAGTGCCAAACCAACTGGGGTACTTTTTTGGTACTTTGGGGTGGGACTTCAAATGCTTTCTTTGTCGATTGGTTATGCAAATAGCCTGCCGCTGAAACACAAAACAGCTGCCGCCTTGAAAAAATTTGCAAACTCAGAAAACGATAAACTAAGTAAAAAAAAAAAAAAAACAGTAATGGATGTGTGGACAAATTAAGAGATCCACGTTTAAATTGCGATCTGGTCGGAAGAGCAGATATATCAAGATCAGGATGGAATGACGTGAAATAAAGTATTTTATGTACTATACGGCAGCATGGTAATACATTTTTCAAATATCACAGTGCGATTTTGTTTTGATAAACATTAGGATATTTATAAAGCAAAATAAATTCTCACAAAACCGCAAAGTGATTTAAACGGCACGGACGAAAATGATTATGATTATTTCGGAGAACGCATACAGCACTTATGCAAAAGCAGAGGAGGAAAACTTTTTCCTTTGACACAGTAAAATTGTTTTAGCAAAACTTGCACTATAATGTCCGTACAGAATTGAAGGTAAGAAAAAGCCTGAACTTAATCTACCTAACTAGCGATGTAAGAATTGCATGTGCATAACATGCTATGTTGGTATTAAACTTGCACATCGTCCAGCCTTATTGTATTCTACAGCCTTTTTTCGAATTCAGTACAAAATACTCCGCCTCGTGTTGTGATGTCATTCAGCACTGTCATTTTACACCAGTGGAAAACCAACACCTTGAAGTGACGTACTTTTGGTACCTTCTTAAAATACCAAAAGTATAGTACCTGGTACGGTGGAAAAACACGCACTGTGGCCTTGTGTGTTTTATATGCACAGAAAGGCCCTTAAAATACAGCGTGGCGACTCTTCTCAGCGTAGCGGGGAAGTGGCTGTCTGAGGCTTGCCAGCATAAGAGCGTGACTGCAGCTGGATATGAGGGGCAGCCAGATCTGCTGCCTCACGCTGTCGCTTCGATATAAATGAATTCAATCAGGAAAATAATGCAGCTAGAAAGGGGCACAGCGGTTAGGGTCACAAACTTGTAATTTTAAATTTGCTGAGAAAATATAGCATAAATGGGTAATAACAGTAGGACAGTTTGCGTGGTAGTTTTAATAGTTGAGTAAATGTGCATTTGTTATTTTTAAAGGAATTAGCTTGTCTTTTTAAAATTCTGTGTGAACGTGCTGGCTGCACAGGTGTTGCAGCACTGGGACCCTTTGCTTAAGGGTTAAACGTGCTTACAGGCCCATCTATCTGCCATAAACATGTGCACACACACACTAAGTGGAAACACACGGCTGTTGCTGGCCCGGAGCTGCTCCAATCAGATTGGCCCCTGAAGCTGTCTGCTTTTTCATTTTTTTTCCCCTTTTCTTGCGATCTCCTGTGGGACGGAGCCGCTCCCAGCTGCAGCCGCAGTCGCAGTGGGAAGTTTGTGCAGGGAAACCGCAGGCCGCTCGCCAGCTCCGACTCACCCCTACCCGTCTCACAGAGTCAGCTCGGGGGTCGCGGGGGCGGTGGGGGGTGGGGGGGGGTCCCTCCATTAACGTGAAGGCAGATGCCCAGGAATGCAGTGATAGCATTTGTGTTTTTGTAACATTCCCTGGCCACTGACACTTTTACGCAAATTGACTCGCAGTTCCCGCACTATTTCCTGCTGATAGCTTAAGCCGTCTCGACCGCCAGGACTGTCCTGCTAGCCGCCGCCCTGCACACCCCCTGAGCGTGCGTCCTTCTGCACGCACGTGTGTGAGGCTCTCCCTCATCCGCCATTGTAATAAAAAAAAAGTAGAAAGTTCAGGCAGGACGTACAAGGCCGCAGTTTATAGAAGAGTGGCCCAGTCGCCTGTCAGCTTGTTTAACTTTGTTTCTGCGTTTTGTGCAGGAATAAGCTGTTTCCCAGGCAACGCTTGCCGCTCCCTCCCTGATTAATGGCGATTAGCGATGGAGTGTTTTTCCCACGTATAGTGCAGGTGTGCAGCACGTTTCATTTGAATCGAGTTTATTTGTGCTCCCTGGTATGGCGCCCCCCCTCTGGGGGATGGGGGGGGGGATGGGGGTCTCTGTTTTTGTAGCTATCTGGGTTTCTGCTCAGCCTTCCGCCTTTTCTTGCTGCTCTCTCCCAGCGGCCGGTGATCCATGTGCGGATAATCGAAAGCAGGCAGCGTGCAGCCTCTGTGTGTGTGTGTGTGTGGGGGGGGGGGTGTGTTTGTGGGTGTGTGTCTGTCTGTGTGTATGGGTGTGTGGGTGTGTCTGTGTATGTCTGTCTCTTTGTGTGTGTGTGTGTGTGTATGTGGGTGCATCTGTGTGGGTGTGTGGCTGTGTGTCTGTCTGTGTGGGGGTTATTTATATATTACATTGTGAGGACCAAAGCTCTCTCTCTGTCGCTCTTTCTCGCTCTCTCTGACACACACACAACACAGAACACACATACATAGACATTATGAAGTTTACCTCCCAGGTCCTTGGCAACAGTAACTGTTCATTGCAAAAATCACAAGATTGTAGCTACTTTTTTTTTATTTTTAACTTAAAATCTGTGCCAAACCTGTGCCTTCATCAGAATCCCCCCTAGAGCAAAGGTCTGCCTGCCCATCCTACCAGAAGAGACACTGCCTGCCATTTTGAAGCCTGTCGGAGGCTCTGCACCCCATTCAGCATGTGGCCTGTGTGCTTTCTGTGCTCCCTCCGCTGTCAGCTTAACGTCCACAGTGTGGGAAACAAGCTCTCATCAATCTTTGGGGGTGGGGGGTCTTTATGGTCCTCCAGGTCGGAGTAAGGTTTCCACATGCCTCTCACCTCCCCAAGGAGTTACAGTAGGAGCTGAACTGGGGCCTTGACACATGTGTTCAGGAGTGGGGTCTTGATTGATGCGTTCAGGAGTGGGGTCTTGAGTCATGTGTTCAGAAGTGAGGTCTTGATTGATGCGTTCAACAGTGTGGTCTTGATGTATTCAGGAGTGGGGTCTTGACTGCCGATGCTTGGACTGAGCTTTGACAAGCAGAGCACGGTTGTAGCTTTCTGCTCCCTGTAGGGTATTCAGAGGGGGTGTATGGAAGGGGGTGGTTCTGGATTAAATCCTGCATCTGCTGCTCTATGAACTCTGACTCCTGACTGCTGTAGATGTTTAGATCTGAGGTTTCCAGCTTTGAGGCTCCCAATGAGAGCAGGGAGGCTGCCTGTCTGTCCTGGAGACACTAAAGTCTGTAAACAGGACGTGTCTTCATGTTAATGTCGTTTCAAAGGGCTTTGGTGTTCGTTGTGCCAGGACGCTCCGTCTCTTATTGGTTTAGTGGTAATTACAGACCATAATAACACATGGAAGGTTTTTTTCAGCTCGGTTATTTTGCTGGGTTTGACATATGTCAACCTAGCTGCACCGAACAGTGAGTTGGGTGATAAAAACAATTTGGTGAAAAGCGTGATCATCAGACGAAGGCGGAGCCTCCTTAGGTGTAGTCATGCACCCATGTGAAATTTTTTACCAATACTGAAAACTGTAATTTTTTGTTGATGGGGTGGGGGGTGGTTGTGAAGACCAGTGACAAGGCAGCATGGGCTAAAAAAACAACACTTGAAAGCTCTGGTTTAAGTGCCCTTTGTTTGGCTTGGGGGTCACCCAGCCCCCCATGCTTGACTATGTGTCATGTCCTCTCCTCTCAATGAACTTCTGAGTCCCGGTCAGAGTCCCTGTGGCTGGCATGTAGGTGGCGTGAGTCGCAATATAATCCAGAGTGGGGGGGTTGGTTTCACCTCATAAGCGAGTGTCTAGTCAAACCAATCCCTGTACCCCCCCCCCCCCCCAAACAAACTGGAGTGGCAAACACCTGCTACCGCCTCCTACTGGCAATTGCTGAAATTCCTCTACTGTGCAGAGCAGAATTTGCCTTGACAGTATAATGAAAAATTCACCCCGTTCACAATAACAAATTTGATGGCTTTGCACCTTTTACTGTGGCAAAAATAAAAGCTCTCGGCTCTCTATATTGCAAGGTAAATGTAGCACGTCACCTCATCTGTTGTTTCGGCAGGTGTGACCTGTTGGGGGGGTGTGACCTTTTCCCGGAGCCGTATGTTTCTTTTCCATCAGGGACAGAAGTTAAAGTTGTAGCGGTGGCCCCCGCTCAGTTCAGCTGTGTGGCACTTAAGACCATCTTGGGATTCAGGTGGGCCTCTCCAAGCCTGGGGGGGTGATTTCCCCCACCTGCGGCTGCAGAACAATGCAGGCGATTTGCGGGAAACCCCCTGAGAAAAAATGTGACCACAAAACATGAGAGGAAATCCCGCTGCTTGTGGTCTCCAATTGCTCTTGACCGTAGAAGATTATACTTGACTAGTGGAGAGCAGTTTACCAACGTTACAGCAGGGGTTACGCTATAATCGGGTCCTGGTTTTGATTATGGACCAGTACCATTCTCTTTAGGAACGTGGTTCTATGCAGGAAGGGAATTTAGGAAACTAAAACTTGGAAAAAGATCAGAAGTCTAAATGGCAGGAATGAATCTTACGGAGATGGGCTGCGTCCGAAATCGCATACTTATTTGGTAGGTAGTAGGCGAGATGTAGTATGTGGTGTGAGCATGTCTGAATCCTCAGTATGAATGAGACAGTACCTGGATGACATACTGCATTCCACATACTGCAACCGGTGGACACTGTGCCACAAGGCCACTGGAGAGGCACGCAGACATGAAGAACATTGCTTGCACAGAAATTTTTGTCAAGATGGCAAAGGAAGTGCCATTTCTGTACAAATTTTTGTAGAAAACACAACCCAAGTACATAAATTCACATGGATATATTTTTTTAAGGGGTGGCACATTGCCACAGTGTGGAGTTTGCATGTTCTCTTCGTGTCATCATGGGGTACTCTGGTTTCCCCCCACAGTTCAGAAACATGATGAGGCTACTTGGACTTACTAAATTGCCCATTGTTGTGTGTGTGTGTGTGTGCGTGTGTGTGTGTGTCCGTGTCCGTGTCCTCTCATGGGTCGGTGCCCCGTCTTGGGTTATTCCCTACCTTGCACCCATAGCTTCCGGGATAGGCTCTCGACCACCTGTGACCCTGAATAGGACAAGATATTTTTTTATATGATGATAGCATTTAGCAATTCACAACTTTCGTTGGGGTCAAGCTATGTGATTGGTGAGCATCCAGGGCAGGTAAAGTGTGCGATGGCAACCACACTGCATCCAATTGCATGCATACTGTACTCCTGCATGCAAATACAGTACATACTGCATTGAAGGTTGAGTAGTAGACGTCTAACATAATGCAGTATGTGCTGTGTAAGTATGCAATTTCCGACTCACTCTTGGTCTCTGCACCCCTGCAGGTCGCTGTGCACCCTGGTTTGCAAATGGACCTACTGCCCACAGGATGGCTGGGACAGCAGCTTCTGGAGAACCATCGGCCTGGAGGACCTGCTGGCTGATAATTACGCCAAAATAGGTATGACCCCCCTCTGCTGCTAGCGTTTCTCACAGCAAATAATTCTGTCTGTTTATATTTAATTTTACTAATTTAATGATTTGAGATAGGGGGGGGCGTTATGACCTCAGATTATTATCATGGTATTTTTCACTTTTTGGACGGTGACGGTATTATATCGCGTTTACGTTTTTGCAAGTTTTGTTATGTGTCATAAGTAATGTTCATTTAAAATAAAACGCAGGGTTGCCAACTTCGGTCAGCTGGCTGGAGTGAAATTTTCATTTCGAGACAAGTCTGCACACACATGCAAACGCACTTACATGTATGTAACCATTTTATTACCTTCTAAATAGTCTGTAGGGTTCGCAAACTACCCCAACGATATTGATGTCGGCAATTTTAGGTTTGTAATGGAATAATATATATTTGCTGTAAGATTTCTAGCATGAGCGTGAGTTTGAAAGCCTGAGTGTCACGCCAGATGCGTGAGAATTGCCAACCCTGAAAACGTACGTTTTTTGTTTCACATGAGTTGATTTTGACATTACTTTATACAGTTGTTGAAAAATCTTTTACAAACATGAAATCACCAATTTATCCAGCATTTTATAAAATACTGCGTTTTGAAAACTTTTCAGCTGTGGGACTTCAGGACAGAGCAGCCGCTCTTAGGAACATTACGGCTTTTTGTTAGATTCGCTGCTGTTATTAACACTAATGATGCATTAGTGCAAATAAAATGACTGCATAAGCCAAATTACAGCTTGCTTGGAGTTAGAGTTTGACGTTCATGGGAAACGGGTGGTTCTAGTGTAAACTGGGTATTTCTGCCTTTTACCACACGCCTTGTATGAAGGCAGCAGCGCATATATATGCTGATTTGGAAAATATGTTTTATTTTAATTTGCTACTATATATTAAACAAAATAACCTGTTATTATATACAGTATATATAAACCAGATTCTTGGTTAAATGTGTATAATTACACAAAATCTGTTTATTTTGAATTTGTGAATTTACTATTGCATCAAACTGACACAACGCAGACAAACTAGTTACATATGCTATTTAACGACATGTATTTATATTAAAAATGAGGCTTTGAAGAAAATAAAATGCTTTATTTTTATAAATATGCTGTTGTATAATTAAAATGCTGAATTCTCACGGTGTTAACGGTATAGTGTAAATCCATATCGTGGCGGACAATCGCACCGGTAATACCTATGACACCGGTGTAACGCCCACCCCTAATTTGAGAGCAGTCGCTTGAAATGTTACTTGAAATGTTTTTGAGTCACTTTATCGGCCTCCCTTCTACAGGTGAGTCCTACACGTATGGGAATTACATGCTTTGCCCTTTAGGTATGAGTGTGACCCCCCCCCACCTCTCCCTGGCTTGCAGTGGTGGCTTCCTCCTGAGGGTTGCCCTCCCTGTTCAGCGTGACTTGGGGAGGGCTCAGGGTTTCCCAGACGCGTGGTTTCACGCTCGTCTTGGGGGCCTCAGGGTTTCCCAGACGCGCGGTTTCACGCTCGTCTCGAAGGGGGTGCGAGGGCTCAGGGTTTCCCAGATGCTTGGTTCACTCACAGTCGCTGACACCCCCCCCCCCACTGTGGTAACTCGGCTGCGAGCTGATGAAGGCGCCCTCGGCCCTGGCCCCCACGTCAGATGCTGCTGTGGCGTCCCACCCACAGATGCGTCACAGCGCGGGGGCTGCAAGTGGAAACGAAAGCTAAGACCTCCCTGCTCTCCCAGCAGATAGGGCCACTCAGGGTAGAGTCATAAGAAATTCATGGCCGCCCAATCGCTGCACTGCGTTGATGTCATGTGATGTCATCAACCAATCGTATGATAGGACTGCATTCACGAGTGGCAAGAAACAAACAGAAAACAAATCAATTTCTAAACTGCTAATAATGCTTAGTACTTAAGAACAGTACATTTTACATATATCAGCTGTTTTACACGACATCATTATTGGACACACTTAAGAAAGAAAGTGTTTGTTATTGTGATTGTAGTTTTCCTTGCTGGCCATGTGTTAAACCTGTCCAAAAGCAGAACAAAGCGGATGGTTGTTATGCTTTGTGGAAATGCTGACTCAGATTTTTTGCAGGTGTGGATGTTCTTGGCTGAAGGTTCATGCTGTTCCTGGTCCAATCTTAGAGAGTAAAGTCCCTGGACATGTTGTCTTTCAGACATAAAAGGGATAAGACTGATGTGACTAATGTTTGTGTGGGCGGGGCTTGCAGGTAATGTCGAGCCGTGGCAGGTCAAGGGGGGGGGGAGCATTTTAAGGTGTTTGAGGGATGTTTCTGGGCCCTTGGGCCAAATAGGTCCTGGGCTGGGCCCATTCAGTCAGATTCTGGTTGTTCATTAAAAGAAACAAAGTCATTATTCAGCGTTATCAGTTTAAGGCTCTTTTTATCTGCGGTTTAAACCTCAAGATCTCTGTATGGGGTCTGTCAGTGATTTATGAAAGAATGGGCAGGTAAACTGGAGTAAACATTACTTTTATCGGTGGTACCAGCTGGCCTGGAGTTCAGTTCTGTTTTTCCTCATTCTAGATTGAACCATGGAAGGATTTTTACTAGGGTTTTCATAACCAGAACCACATCACCGAGGTTTGCCCTGCTCACGTGTTTAATTCGTTTCACGTGTTGGGAGTTTGCAGACATCTAATCCTTCCTTCCTTTTGATTTTAGAGCTACAGCACCCCCCCCCACCCCCTCCCGCCCCGCAAAGCCCTCCTAGTATAACATCTGGCTAGTGGAAGTGGACCTGAGGGGAGTGAATGTGTTTCTGTTTTAGCCAAATGGGCTTGCGTTTGCGGCAGGATCGCCGCGTTATTCTCACTGGAAGGGGAGGGGAGGCTGAGGTAGAGCAGCGGACGGCAGGAAAAGGCCGCCGCCGTGTTTAGCTTGTTGGGAGCGACATATCATGGCTAAAAGAGGAATTAAATGAGGAATTAATAATTCGGGGGATTCTGAATGCCGGTTATGGCGGACACTGTGGCTCAGTGGGTAGTGCTGTCTCCTCACATCGCTGGCCTACGTGCGTGAAATTGGCGTCGTCTTCACGTATCACGCAGGTTTCTGTCCAAAGATGCACAGTTAAGCTAATAGGTGTTTCTGAATTGTCTGTCGCCCGTGATTTTGTGTGTGTGTGTGTGTGTGTGTGGGTGTGTGTGTGTGTGGGTGTGGCCTGCGATGGACCTGTCCGGGGTGCAGCCTTGTTCCCTGTGATTTTGACAGAGAGGATTATGGGTGGATAAAAATCAGTTGCTGATAACATTGGTTAGGTTTTCTGCCTCAGGGCTGTACTGAGTGCAGGTCACATGACCTGAGCCATCCGGACTGGGCCTGTCGCCTCGACGACGATTTTAACATCCTAGCAGTACAGCCAGGGTTGGGAACAGCCTGTTCTAGATACAAAAGGATCTTAGGGGGGCGGAGTTGCGCAAGGGAAACTTTGGGGGAGGAATCCAAACTGCCACACCAATCGATTGGCATCGCCCCAGAAGTTGAAACACGAGCGGCTCTCAAACTGAAGAGCACGGAGGCGAGCGGTCGATCGATCCCCTGCTTTCCCCAGCTTGCTCATTACGGTAACAATCCATCAGAGTTTCAGCATGAGTGGGAATCGGGCGTGCTGAGTGTCCTCTAGGGTTTTCTCAGTATTTTGGTCCTCCGTGTCCTGAAATAGGGTGTGAAACAGGCACTCGGGGGCAGCCCCCTGAGGCCCTGGCCCATGTCCTGACGTTACCTCAGCGACTCCCCAGGGCCTGGGGTGCAGCTAGTTTAGCATCACTATTTAGGGAGGATCCAGGACGCGGCCACGTTACCCCGGCGACTGATTTATGGTCCATGTCCTGATATTTTTGGGATTGTGTCGTGAGGAGCTTGTAACCCTGCCACCCTGTTCCGTCTCTACCAGGTCAGCTGACCTGCTGCCCGGGCACACCCCTAGGGGCAGGGCTGACACTGCAGGCTGCCGCCGACACCCATCTGGAGGCTGGTACAGCGGTGGCTGCTTCCCTTGTCGACGCCCACGCTGGGGGGCTGGGTAAGATCTCCCAACCCATTCGTCCCGTCCTGGGCATGCGATGCTGTCATCACTGATGTCCCTCAGGGTCATCGTCTGTCTACACGGAGTATCCTCAGGCTGAATCATCTGACATGTCT